CTTGTTTGGTTAAAATATTATTATGTTTGCTTCTCTTGTAGCAGTGTTCTCATGTAAATTCGAGCATGGCTACCAACGACGACCTTCGTAATGTGGCTATACATTTCCGTGGGGTTGAGTGGACGGATGAAGAGGAGGATGTGTTGTATCGCTTGTTCTTTGACAAGTGCCGGGCAATGGTGGAGATAAGCCGTCCATTGGTCTTCAATTCCATGTGGAACGATCTTGCCCGAGACCTTTCGGATGCATTGCACAAAGCATTCAACAAGCCTAAGGTCCGTATGAAAATATATCGCTTGAAGCATCATTTTGAAGCTTTTGACCGATTCACCAATACACGGGGCGTCCGGGTCTATCCAGATGATGGCATGGTCACAGTGAACACGACATATTGGAATAATGTGGGGGAGGTAAACTTTAGTTTTCCCTTTATGAGTTTCATAAATTATTTAATGCTTACATTATTTAAGTTCATTCACAATTATGTAAATTTGGTTCAATTCAATATTTTTAGAAATATTCATGTAGTTTTACTTGACATTGTTTGACCAAATTTTAATTAGCAAATTTTAGGGGCATTATTAACTATTAAATTTTTTATAACCATTTTTTAGGTAGTTTAACGTGTGTTGTCGGTGTAATTGCAATTGTTCGACCAATTTTTTTGTTGGCATAATTTAGTTGAATTATTAAAAATAAGATTTTTTTAGATTTTATAATAATTTATTAATTTTTTTTGGAATTACTAATATTTAAAATTCATATTCGGATTATTATTTATTTTCCAAAATTTTTTGTTACTAAATTTAATAATTAATTCACGGAATTCACAATTTATTATTTTATTTTACAAAATAAAATCGGGTTTCCTTTTATTTTTGGTTTATTTTACAAAAATAAGAGCTCAATTTATATTTTAAGTCAAAATTTTATGGATTACAAATGTTATTCATTAAAACATAGCTTTATAATCTTTATGCACTTCTTAATATTGTAGGAAACACATTTCCATACATTCTTCCGTCTATTTGGTTTCAAGTGGTACAATGAATGTGTGGATTTGTTCATCAACCTTGAAGCCGCGGATATAGACTTCGATGATGGTCCTGTAGACATGTTGGAAGATCCAATTGAGTTTACTGACTCGGATGAGGAGGCCGAAGAAAATGATGACCATGTGATTGTGCTGGGAGCAACAAAACGTCCATTCAATCGACGTGGAAAATTATGAGGTTCAGAATGTGCCGGGTCGTAAGAGGTACCATCCAATCGACGTAGAAGATTATGAGCTTGAGAATGAGCCTGGTCGTAGGAGGTACTATCCAATCGACGTGAAGGACGAAGAGGAGCACGAGATGGATAGGAGGTTGACATTGATCATGTCATTGGCGATTTCAATGGGGAAGATGTGAATGAAGCACAGGATGAGTCAGAGTCTGAATCGGGCATCAATTCGGAGTAATCGTGCATTATTTAGAAGCAAGGAAATTTTCAACATCGTTAGGGGTATCGGTACGCCTATGTATCTTCGATTATTATAATGTGTTGGACTTGTATTGTAATGAATTTCTGTGTTGGTCTTTAACTTTTTTTGTTACGTATTCTCGTGATATCCTTACATTATGTCTCAAAATACGGCAAAAAGCAACATGAATTTGAGAGGACGCAAGCTTACACCATGCGCAAACATGACTAAGACATATAACCGACATCACAAGATCACAAACACCGAAAAAATTAACCAACACAAACATAATTAACTTCTTTTGTAGCCCACACAAGCAATTTTCATGATTTGGAAAATTTGTTTTGTTGTGCGTTGTAACTTTGAACATGATATTGTCTTTATATACGTATGTTGTATTCCAAATCATGAAAATTGCTTGTGTGGGCTACAGAAGAAGTTAATTATGTTTGTGTTGGTTAATTTCTTCGGTGTTTGTGATCTTGTGATGTCAGTTATATGTCTTAGTCATGTTTGCGCATGGTGTAAGCTTTCGTCCTCTCAAATTCAAGTTGCTTTTTGCCGTATTTTGAGACATAATGTAAATTGGGATATCACGAGACTACGTAACAAAAAAAGTTAAAGACCAACACAGAAATTCATTACAATACAAGTCCAACACATTATAATAATCGAAGATACATAGTCGTACCGATACCCCTAACAATGTTGAAAATTTCCTTGCTTCTAAATAATGCACGACAATATCATGTTCAAAGTTACAACCCACAACAAAAAAAATTATCCTAATTCAAAGATACAACCAAATACAAACACAATTTCCATGTTCAAAGCTTCCTAAGCATTTACTTATTTTGAAGATTAGCATTTTTCAAGTGTTTGTGATCTTGTGATGTCAGTTATATGTCTTAGTCATGTTTGCATTTCAATTGTTCCTCCAATCATCATCCTGTAATGGAAGGGTGGGAGCTCGGGTTCAAGCCAAGCAAAATATCCACAATCATCATCCTGTAATGGAAGAAAAAATTCTCATTTTCAATTTGATAACAGTGTAATAGAACTTCAAAGATTTGTAACACACAGAAGGTGCTGTCATGCTCGGAGTATGAAATTTAAACAAATGTTCTATCTTGTCAAATTAAATATGACTTACCATTCGTTGTTTACACCTGTAGAACCTCGTAGCCAAATTCCATTTTGGTAACGCAAAACACTCCGATCGGCTTGAAATCGGCTCGTCTTCCTCCTCCTCGCTGGTAGAACGCCGCGTACCTGCAAAGAACTCTCACACCGGGGGGGTTTTTCCAGTGAAGAGCCTCCGATGCTTAATACAGTGTATATTCCACTCAATTCTCCAAAGTAAAGTATGGATAAATCGTAAGCCCCAATAAAAGACTCACTTCTATATATATAGGAGTGAGATACCTGCCCTAGGAGCTGCCCAGATTTGGTGAGCTGTCGTACCCGCGCTGCCCGTCCGTACACACACAGTGTGCATGTGTCAGAGGTGGTTATCGCCACTATTGCTCTGCACCAATGTACTCTCGCCACGTGTCCCTCTCAGCAGAGGGAGATTATTCTCTGCACATTCCGTTAGGATCTTCTGACGAAGTCCACGCACTTTCTCGCGTTCAAGCCACGCCCTCGATTGCTCTTCACCTGTCGGGTGCTCTATCTGACCGAGTCCCCCTTCGCTAGGTCGATCATCGACCAGATCTGCTATCCTGCCCGATCATTTCCCTTTTGGTCGATTATCGCTCGACCAATACAGTTTTTCCGACATCGAGCTCGCCTGACCAACGTGGTAAACCGGTCTATCCTTTAGGCATATAATATTCCATATCACGTTCAGTCTGAGAGGTCAACAGATCGGGCTCCTTACCATGGCGACATGCTAATTTAGGAATTACAGAGCTCGAGAAAGTGGCACTCGAAGATGTGTTCTTTGATGTGTGGGACCCGATTGACATACTGCTAAATTGGACTATAATAAAAGAAGTATTTGTGCATACTTTAGAATAAAGATAGTATTGATGTACTTATGCAGATTACTTAAGCATTTCATCATTTCACGATTCTATAGTAAGATACTTCATTACAACTTTCAAGGATCTTGAATAAATAAGTATTTTTTATAATAAAAGAAGTATTTTTTTTTTTTTTTTTTTTTTTTTTTATGTCTAAGCTGCAACTGACAATTCATCCGCAGAAAACAGAAAAGGGGGCAACTGAAAATACTTTGTAAACCTCATCAAGGATCTTGAATAAATAATTTGGTGTATATGAAACACTTACTTGATGTGGAAGACGACATAATTTGTGATCTTGATCTTGATGATCACACGGGGTCAAATCGATCAGTAGATCTAAATCAGTTTCTCCCTCCTGACCTTCTCTTAACGCAGCAGAAAACTGATGGGAAAAACTGCGTACCCTAATAGGAGGAGGGGACTAATTTATATAGGAATGGCTTTAGATCTGGTACGTCCATCAAATATCCAGATAAATGGCTTAGATTTGTTTGACTATTAAATAAAGGCTTAGCCCAATAGGATAATTAAATGTGAGCCCAATGCTTCCGGGCCACATATTCTTACATTCTCCCACTTGGTCCGAAAGCCCATAATTTAATAGTATAACATTAGGTGCGCATAAACAAATCTCATTATGCCATACATCATAATAAACTATGACATGATAAACCATATAGTGAGAGTTATGGCGGTTGTACACTCTTGATTCGCATACTTCCTTCCATATACTACTACACTTATTGTTTAACACATCAAGTTCCATAATTATATATAAATATCTTAATGTCCACTTAATTGTCATCAAGACATTTATTTCTTGTTCTAAACATAATGTATAAAAAATTATAATGAACAAAAAATTCGATAATAGTCAGAAACATAACATCAATGAGCTCAAGAGTGTGTCATAACCTCATCGTAATCAATCATCAATACAACCAAGACCCATTCTATGTACATGTTCTTTAATGTCTTTGGTTGTAGACCTTTAGTTAATGGATTTGCAATCATAAAGTCCGTTCGAATATGTTCGATGCACACTCTTTGTTTCTGAACCTCCTCTATAACGGCAAAATACTTTAATTCCATGTGTTTTGCACCCTTGGAATATTTGTCATTCTTGGAGAAGAAAACTGCTGCGGAATTATCACAATACATTTTCAGCGGCTTGGTAATGGTGTCGACAACCCCAAGTCCCGAAATAAAGTTCCGCAACCATAATGCGTGAATTTTAGCCTCATAGCAAGCTACAAATTCAACCTCCATAATAGATGCAGCTATGACAGACTGTTTGACACTTTTCCATGAAATTGCTCCTTCGGCACGAAGAAACATATAGCCAAACATTTACTTGCAACTGCCAAGGCACCCAACAGAATCTGAATCTGAATATCCAATCACTTCAAGGCGATCAAATTTCCTAAACGTGAGCAGATCCTTCGTCCCTTGAAGGATATCATCAATATATAGAACCAAAAATATAAACTTACTCCCACTGATCTTCTGGTAAATACACCAATAAACTGTGTTTTCTTGAAAACCAAAAGACATAGTGGTATCATTAAACTTAAGATACCATTGTTTGGAAGCTTGTTTAAATCCATATATTGACTTCTTAAGTTTACACACCATGTGACCATTACCTTATGTGGAAAACCCTTCGGGTTGATCCATATAAACTTCCTCATCTAAGTCCCCATTAAGAAAGGCTGTTTTCACATCCATTTGATGTAACTCTAAATCATACGGAGCTACTAAAGGCCATAATGATCCTTAAAGAATCTTTCTTAGAAACAGATGAAAAAGTCTCCTTATAATCAATGCCATCTTTCTGAGTATAACCCTTGGCAACAAGTCTAGCTTTATGTCGTTCGATATTGCCACTCGAGTCGCGTTTGGTCTTAAAGACCCATTTATACCCAACTCGTTTTGAGCTTTCTGGCAATTCTACTAGATCCCAAACATTGTTTTTAGCCATAGAGTTTAACTCTTCATTCATAGCATCAATCCATTTATGAGACTCGTCACTGTTAATGGCTTGTGAAAACGAAACAGGATCTTCATCAATGCTAATATCATAATCCAACTCTTGCAAATAAACCACATAATCGTCCGAAATAGCAGATCTTCTCACCCTTGTAGGTTTGCTTAATGCTATTCCACGTGGTTCATTTATGTTAGTTGGTGGCGAATTAGTTTCTTCATGGGGTACTACATCATCCAAATTTTGTCCACCATTATTTTGTTCTTAAGGTTGTGGAACAATATTTAGGACAAATGTGGATATTGGAACATTAATGGGTAATGGAACATCAACCCTTATTTCATTAATTTTCACAGTCTCTTTAGCACTCCCACTAACTTCACCATTTTTAATAAATCTAGCATTACCCGTTTCAATGATTCTAGAACTATGATTAGGACGGTAAAACATATACCCTTTGGACTTTTCTGGGTAACCAATAAAATAACCACTCACAGTTCGAAAATCCAATTTCTTTTCATGTGGGTTGTATACTCGTGCTTCTGTCAGACAACCCCAAACATACATGTGTGTCTCAAACTAGGTTTCCTTCCAGTCCATAACTCAAAAGGAGTTTTAGGAAATGCCTTACCAGGAACCTATTTAGTAGATACACAACAGTCTTAAGTGCATACATCCACAAAGATTTGGGTAATGATGTATTACTTATCATACTCCTAACCATATCAATTAATGTTTTATTTCGCCTTTTCGCCACACCATTTTGTTGAGGTGTGTCTGGCATAGTATATTGTGCACATATGTCATGTCTTTGGAGGAACTTAGCAAATGGACTAGGATTTTGTCCCAATTCATCATACCTTCCATAGTATTCACCACCTCTATCAGACCTTACTATTTTCACCTCTATGTCTAACTGCCTTTCAACTTCATTAATGAAAACCTCAAGTGCATTTACAGCTTAAGATTTTTCCTGAGCAGATAGATATACATAAAACGTGAAAAATCGTCTATAAAGGTAATAAAATACTTTTCTCAAGAAGCTGACTATTTCTTGTGGCTCCTTTCTTGTTATGTTTGGTTTTCTTTCCCTTAATGCAATCCACACACAATCCAAGATCGATAAAATCTAGATCCAAAAGAATCTTATCTTTCACCAACCTTTGCATTCTATCTTTCGATACATGACCTAAACATTTATGCCACAAGAAAGCAGAGTTCTCATTTGCTACACCATGTTTAATTCCAATGTTTTGATTAACACACATCAAAGATGCGGAAAAATCAACATCATCAGTTTATGAAAACCATCCATAAGGATTCCAGAACCAGTAATGGAATCATGTTTATCAATCAAGCTGAAACATCCATGTCCAAACTTAAAGGAAAACCCAAGAACATCAGTCAAGAAAGAGACATTAAGTTTCTAGAAAATGAAGGCACATAGAGAGTTTGTAAAAGATCCAGGTGGTACCCGGAATCTAAAACAATACGATAAGTCCCTATGCCTTCAATTGGGGCCTTCATACAGTTCCCCATAAACAAAAAGTTCTCATTTGGGTTTATGCTATGGATTGTAAGAAATCTCTGCGTCGCATTAGAAACATGAGTTGTAGCACCAGAATCCAACCACCATGTATTTGAAGGAACTTTAGACAAGTTTGATTCGAAACATACAAAGATATTAGAAATACCTTTCTTTTGAAACCAAAACTTGCTGTTCAGGCAATCTTTTTGTATGTGTCCTTCTTTCTTACAGAAATAACATTATTTGTCTGATTTTCCTTCTTATCATCATTAGTGACCTGTGAAACTTTAGCAGGTCCTTTCTTCTTAAACTTGTTGGATTTAGGTTTGAGAACATCATTAGCGCCATGACCCACAAGGTTGACCGTATGAACTAGGGGTGTTCATCGGTCAGTTCGGTCGACCGACTGAACCGAACTACAAAAACTGAATTAACCGAATAACAATATGACAAAAACCGAACCGATCGAAAAATTGCTTAAAACCGAGCCGAAATATTTCGGTCGGTTCGGTCGATTAACCGAATTTTTACAAAAGAAACAATTTTTTGTGGATTGTTTACTAGGCCCAAACATATGGGCCTTTTCATTGGACCCAAACACTTACACAACTGTTCAACAACAAAAATACAACCTAAAAACACATTCAACTTAAACTTTTTAATTCCAAATCCAACAAGTCCAAGTCCAAAATAAAAATAATAAAAACAAAAGCCCAAGTCCTCAAAACAAGTCCCAAAAAATAAAACAAAAGCACCAATAAAACATCCACTCATAAACATCAGCACAAGGCTCCAAATATAGAATAAAAGTCACCAAAAGCAGCAGCAATAAGACACAAATAAAGGTCCAGAAAACAGCAATAGAAGTCCCCATAAACAGCCTTGAAAAGGCCTTCAGAACAGCCCCGAAAAGCCCCCAAACAGCCCTGAACTTGTGTTCGAAACACAGCAGCAATACACCTTCAAAATAACCCCCAAATGAACCTAAAAACAGCAAAATATAGACCAAAAAAAGCACCAAAAACAACAAGTGAAAACATCTTATACAAACCAATTTTTAGAACAATTGAAAAGAATGAAATTTAATAATGGTTACCTCAAATTTCACAAGTCGTACTTCACAATGTTTGTCCAATCCCCACTTGCGGAAAATCTTACAATTAAACAAATTAAAAATAGGATTGCTATTAAAATAAAATACAAAGTATTTGCACATCAACAATACCTTTTTCAAGCATATCTAGTTCATCTAATGACTCTTCAACACATAAAGGGACGCATTCATGTCGGAGCCAATCTTGTGTACATATCAATGCTTCAACAATTTTAGGAGTTAAAGAACTCCTAAATTTGTCGAGCACCCGCCCACCGGTGCTAAAGGCCGACTCCGATGCAACGGTTGATATTGGAACACCCAACATATCCCGAACCATTCTTGAAAGAACCCGAAAACGTTCGGAATTTGATTTTCACCACTTTAGAACATCAAGATCTTCTTCTCCCTCTAGCACATCCTCAAGCAAGTAAACTTCAAGTTCGGATTTTTTGTTTGCATAACCCCCGGTCGCTAACTTTTGCTTCTTGGGCTTGGTACAAATACTTCCATGTTCGGAACTTGAAGTTGAAGTTGTTTGAACTCCAATGGCATTTGCATCATCCGGATCATACTTCTTTTTATACTCTTTGAATAATTCAAAGAGATCATGCTTCACTTCCTCAAGAATTTTCTCCCCCTTTTCATCTCCATACATCCCATTCAAAGTGTAAGTCATGTACTCAAACTTTTCTCTCGGATAAAAAATGTTTGCCCAAAAGATAATTTTATTCATGCATCCCGGCCCCAATATTTAAGAAATTTTGATTTCATTAAGTCACCCAAGTCCTTTTTCAAAAGGTCGTCGCTCTTTCTCCAATCATCCAAAATGCAACATAAATCGCTAATCTCACTAAAATAAGTATTCGAAGTGACATACAAAGAGCCGAAATTCGTAAGGTAACATCATAAAAGTACTTCAACAATTCGGAAATTTTGCGAGCACAAGACCAATCATAAGCATTAGGAACTAAATCATCTCCCAAATCCTTCACAAAAGAAGTTTCGTCTCTTTCATACTTAGCAAATGCTTTCTCAAATTTTTCCGGGTACTAAGCATCATATAAGTCGAATTCCACCTCGTTTTGACATCAAGACTGATATAGCCACATAAGGATAACCCGGTCCAGAAGCTCCTTACTCGACCGGTAAGCCGCTTGAATAACTCGCATGTCGACATGGCTCCGTCGACATGCTCAAATCGACTCTCTGAAAGACGATTCTACCAAGAGCAGCAGAGAAGAAATAGAAATGGCGCTAGTCGACTCACGCAAGTCAACTTTAGTTTATCGACTTATACTAGTCGACATCGTCGAAAGAAGAGCAACAAGAGCATAACACCTGAGCATCCCGACATCTTAAGTCGACTTCCAGTAGTCGACTCAACTAAGGCGACCCTCTTGAGACGACTTCACCTCAGAGAGTTAGCCAAGCGTAGCCTCCGAAACCGCATATATTCATAAGTCGACCTCCTAACTCTCGAGGTCGACTCTATACATCTCGAGGATCAAAACAGTGAAGACGATTCACCATACTTAAAACATATCCGAAGCCTACAGATTACAAAGGATAAGAAGGAATCTGGTGATGACTCAGCAACAAGGGGAGACGAATCGACCAGGGCATTTTGGACCTTCTAGGTCCACCGACTTGGGCATTCTGGGTACTTCAGGTAAATATTCACTCCTACATAAAGGAGGTGAGGTAACCCTAAACCCTAACTCTCATTCATTCCCACTCTCCCCCATAGCTGCTGCGCAACATCTCTTCATCACTCTCATACTGACTTGAGCGTCAGAGGCTCTACGTCGGAAATACCTCCGGCATTGAGTTTTTGCAGGAATCTCGCGGTCTAGCAACGATTGGGAAACGGTTCAAGCAGATCTGAGCTCACAACAACCGGTTTACTCCAGATCTGGAAGTAGACCCATCAAAGACATAATGACTTATTGGATTTTATACCCTCCCAATCCACACACTCTTTAAATTTTTGAAGTCTAGCGGGAGAATTTTTTATGTATCTAATAGCCGCCTTCACCCGCTTCACTGATGGTTTTACATCTTTAAAGCCCTCGCTAACAATCAAATTAATAATATGGGCAATGCACCTCATGTGAATGTATTTACAATCGGCAATAGTATCCCCCCCAATCCATCATTCTATTCTTCAAAAATGGCAATGCCGTATCATTTGAGCTTGCATTATCCATAGTTATCGGAAAGACATTTTTTAGCCCCCAATCAAGAATACAAGTTTCAATTGACTTGGCAATATAATCACCCTTGTGGCTCGTAACGGGAACAAAATTCAAGATTTTTTTGTGCAAATTCCAATCATTATCAATGAAGTGGCCGGTAATGCACATATAATTAATTTTTTGCAGAGACGTCTAAGTATCAGTGGTAAGACAAATCCTTTGACAATTACTTTTCAAGAAAAATTTCAACTTTGACCTCTCTTTAACAAACATATCAAAGCAATCTCTTATAACAGTGGTCCGAGAAGGAATTTTAAACCTAGGACATGCTTTGCTCATAAACAATTTAATTCCTCAGCTTTCCACAAATTTAAAGGGCAATTCATCAGAACATATCATATATGCAATAGATTCTCGAATCTCACCATAATCATATTTCCAAGCAGATACTGAACCCGACCCAACAACACCCTCTATTCCTGGTTGCACGTTTATTAAAGATTGGTTCGCATCAACTTTTTCAGGATTTTTCATGCAACCAGTCAAATGAGCAAGAAGTGAAGAGGTACCATTTCATTTTGTATGGCAAGCATATTGCTTCTAACAATGTTTGCACTGAGCTCCTATCAGTTTTTTTATTTCCGTCAAGAATCATGTCAAAATGACTCCATGCCTTAGATCTTGGCTTCATTTTACGAAGCCCGGTGCCTCCTTTGGCTCCTCCTGTAACTTCTGATGTATCTCCAGGTTGAGTCGGTATCTCATTTGGGGCATTATCTATCGGTCCCGTGCTTCCGTCCATTTCTTCTTGGCTTGAATCTACAATAAGGATTAGGAAAAATTAAGCACATTGATTAAAAATGGGTTAAAACATAAACAAAATCAGAAAATAAAACACACATGATAATCAGACGTTGGAATTTCATAATCTTCCTGGAAATGAATAGCCTCTGAATAGGCTCTGTTTTTTTTCAATGAATATTTTCTGTCATATGTTATTCAAGAATCAAGACACATGATACAAAACTCTCACATGTGTAGTTTTCAAATTTTCAAAGATCAATATACAGCCATTAAATCTAATTTAATAAAACTTCCAAAACCAAGTTCAATTAATATATATAACTAACTGAAAGTTCCAGCCATAAAATCAAACACCTCATCCAAAGATCAACCATTCATTGGTAATAATTTGTAAAAGAAAAAAAAAAGAAAAATCTGTTAGGCTCATCTCCTTCGTCCTCAATTAAAAAAAAATTAGGAAGACGAAAAAAATAATATACCTTGATGGAGAGGGAGACGAAAATCCATTGGGCCTTGATGGTGAACCGTGTGCACGGCAAGGCGGCACCTCCAAGCTCAACGCCCTCGACCGACAAGTCGACGACCGGCGTCAATTCTTGACCGGACCGAAGCAGACGCTGATGATTTGGGGCCGAGGCAGAGACGATTTACAGCGAAGGCGATTTGAAGCGGATACACGGAGCGATAGATTTGGATTGGGACGGGATGATGTTCCGTGGAGGAGAAGATGATTGGGGACGACGGCGGAGCAGCGATTTTGGAGAAAGGAAAGAAAGGAGCGATTGCGTCTGCGAGAGTGAGAGAGGCGAACGAGTGTTTTACAGATCTAGGGTTATCAAATATAATATATATTATTATGATTTATGATATATATAAGTATAGTATATTATATATATTATTTCGGTCGGTTCGGTTAATTCGGTTTTTGATGACTGAAATCGAAACCGACCGAATTAACCGAAAAATAATTTGACTAAAACCGAAAACCGACCGATTTTGTTAAAAACCGAACTGAATTTTTCGGTTCGGTCGGTTTTTTCGGTTTTGGTCGAATTATGCACACCCCTAGTATGAACTCCTTATGCCTTAAGTCTCGTCTCCTTCTGAACAAGCTTACTGGCCAATTCATTAACATCCCACTTATACTTAATAGTGTTATAGTTAATTTGAAATGACCCATATTCTGGAGGCAACGAATTAAGCATAAATTGCACCGGAAATGAGTCATCAACGGTCATGCCCAGGGACTTAAGCCCTGCTGCAAGATTAGTCATGACAAGAACATGTTTCTTCATACTACGTGATCCATCATACTTTTTGGCCGTGAGTTCTGCCATAAGTGTTCCTGCCAATGACTTATTCGCGGAACGAAAACGCTCTTCCACAAGCAAAAGGTATGCTTTCGCATCCACATTATCGGGAAGAGTTGACTTAATGTTGTTGGCAATCGTCATTCGCATAAAGCTCAAACATATTCTGTTAGACCTGTCCCAAGCCTTACGGTTTGATTTCTCTGCCTCACTGCTTTGATCAGTAATGTCAGCGGGCTTTTCTTCATGCAGAGCCAAATCAATATCCAAAACACCTCAGTGGAAATTGACTTGCTCACACAATTCAGAGAAATTCAAACCATTGAAGACAGTAACAGAAGACGCTTGCAAATGAAGAGTGACAGTTGCACAATCTTAAATGCTCACTTAAATAATAGATTCAGAAAATACATTCATCACGTATATTGCAGGTTTCCTTTGGGAAAACACAACAATATATATCATTATCATAAGTTGAATGTCATTTAACACTTATTGAGAAATTAAATAAACTTCGTCTAACATACATAGTATCTTTGGATATCCACGTACGCTCGACAAAAGGATATTATATTTCTCTTTAATGCTTATTAGTTATAGAACATTGATTCACCTTTAGGTAAATCCATAATTTCTAACAACCAATAAACTAATTAGTCCATTATAATGATATTCTCAGGAGAACATAAATTATATGACAAATCATTAGAAAATTAATTCGGCCACTTTGGTGACTAACAAACTAATTTTCACTTAATGTCATATAATAAGCAGTTGTAGCAATAATATTATATGACTGGACATAAAAAATTAATTAGGCCACTTTGGTGACTAACAAATTAATTTTATCATAATGTCATATAATAAAAATTACAACGATAAAATTATATGACCGAACATTAAAAATTAATTAGGTCACTTTAGTGACTAACTAATTAATTTTACCTTAATGTCATATAATAAATCATTCATACAGATATCATCTTTCTCAAATATGCTATTATGCGTCTCAAACAGTCTACAACTGAAATGGCTCACCAAATAGTAGGGGTAGCTCACCCACTAAACATTGACAGCCATGATAATACAGTTGGCCATAAACTTAGATTGAAGGGGTATATATCATCAACCGATAATTGCAAAGCAGCCAAAGAACATCATCATTCCAATAATCAAGTTGATGCGTTTTGATGCGCATGTCTTTGCTATCAAAAAATTTAACCCAAAATCAATGGTAATAAAATATTATGTAAATTGATTCCTTTCACAATTATTTTGACAACCTCATGATCAATCGTCATACGTGGGTATTATTTCAGAAATTAATTACATAACCTAACCAACAATATTCACCGAAAGCAATCCTCATCATTGTAAGTCAACCATGAATAACACACAGTTCAAATAGTTATTTCCAAAGATTGATGCGACCAATAGAGACAAACATTCGCGGAATTAAATTTCATAACAAAAGATTTTTGTCTACTTATACCAATACATCATAATTTACAACAAATTATGCATTCATAACACATGCTCTGATACCACATGTAAACCTCATCAAGGATCTTGAATAAATAATTTGATGTATACGCAACACTTACTTGATGCGGAAGACGACATAATTTGTGATCTTGATCTTGATGATCGCACGGGGTTAAATCGATCGGTAGATCTAAATCAGTTTCTCCCTCCTGACCTTCTCTTAACGTAGCAGAAAACTGATGGGAAAAACTGTGTACCCTAATAGGAGGAGAGGGGACTAATTTATATAGGAATGACCGAATGGCTTTAGATCTGGTATGTCCATCAAATATCCAGATTAATGGCTTAGATTTGTTTGACTATTAAATAAAGGCCTAGCCCAATAGGATAATTAAATGTGAGTCAAATGCTTTCGGGCCACATATTCTTACATAATTGTCTTAACGAAAAGGAATACATTACAGAGGAAAAAAAGAAAGGAAACAGAAAACAATATAACTTGCCAAAAGTTGGGTTACAATCCGCTATCAGGCCCTTCGTCGCCCGTCCAATGGATGGTAGATCATCCAACTAAGCGGCTTGACATATAATGAACTACGAGAAAGTATCAACCTAGTACAACAAATTACACATCGGTTTGTTGTGTGTGTTACAATAGAGAACAAAAGACGTAGCTTCAACGGCAAGAACAATCAAGTCTCTCAACGACTGTTAATTTTGGACAAGTAATCTCAATTTCCGTGTATAATAACAAATTTAAGCCAATAGATACTCCAACTAAGCGCATTGACAAACAATGAAGCAACTTCAAAGTCCAACCAAGTACAACAATTTACCCATCAGTATGTTACAACAGAGAACAAAAAATGTATATTCAATGGCAAGAACAATTAACTCTCTCAACAACTATTAATTTTAGACAAGTAACATCGATTATCAAAAGAATTTGTACCTTGGTAACAACTTCGTTGCAGGTGCTTCGAATTGCTGAACTAGTGTTACTTCGGCAGAACTAGGGCTTCCAGACGAACAAACAATTGACGCCTTTCGGGTTGCCCGAATGTGGCTAACAAACAATCGAACTTCCTTTGATTTCTGGAAGATAACCCGTTGCCTTAGTCGTCGCGCGTGCTAGATTTCGTGGGAGCAGAGTCGCTAAGAGGTGAAGAACACCGTTGCAGACGAGAGAATGTGGGAGAATTGGGAAATAATGCTTTTTGGTTTATTTGAAAGGGGTAAAACAGTATTTTACACCACCTACACATTTTTTTTTTTTTTTTTAATTTAAAGTTTTCTTACCCCTTAGGGTCCGTTTGGTTGGCCGGATTGGGCTTGATATCATGCATGTTGTTATTATTTCATGCCTATAAAGATATTTGGTTCGGATTGTCCAAGCCCGTTAAAATGTAAGGGCCCGATTAGTTATTACCAACTTTCAGTATTGTGTATCCCACTTATGAGGTGGGATGTGTTATCTTATTCTATTTTTTATTTAAATTTACAAAGATAACCTTATTTCTTCTTCCTCTCTTTCGTGAAATTGTATTGGCACTGAGAGCAAGAACCCTAACCCCCTTTCCTTCATCTTCTTCTTCTTCGTAAAGCAACAACACCGTCCCTTCATCTTCTTCGTTAAGCAACAACACCCTTGGATCTGGTAGAAATTAAGCTTTTCTCTTCAATTAAGCTTCTACAAGCTGGTGAAAGCTTAATTTCAGATTGGCCAATTTTATCGGCTCGTCGATCTCGAAGGTTGTGCGGACGGACGGTGAGGGAATCCGGCAACCGCCGTGAGCAATCTCCTGGTGCGCGTTCTACTAGCCGCCGAGGGCCTGCGAGGTGCAGAACAACCGAGAGTCGACAGAGGGTGACGAGTTGCTCGACGGGTTGGGTTTCAGACGCTGAGCGTTTAGCTTGAAGAAATCGTATGTGTTGGGATCCGCCATTTTTGTTTTCCTGAGCTCTGATTTTCTCAATTTGTTCGACTAATTTTGGGATTGGGTTGTTAGGAATTGAGCCTGAAAAGGGGGCTGGAGAGTACTCGTTTTTACTACCAAGAGATGGATGAAAGGGATGAAATGAAAAATCAATTTGAAATTAAGGGTGAAAAAGTAATTTGAAATTAAAGGATATAATTTTCAACTCTAAACCAAACAAGTTATTGGGCTATTTAAATGAAAGAATAACCTTTGAAACAATCCAAAAGATTATATCATGCCCAATCCATTATTCCAACCAAACTGACCCTTATCATATATAACAAACATAGATTAGTCCAATCCCAACAGTGCAATCCTTCCCCAGTGGACTAAATTAGTCCAATCCCATCCTGAAAAGCAAACAAGGGCTGAGTATTTAAATATATTAAGCCCACGGGTCTTTAAAAAAAAACCATGGGTTCGAGTGTTGATAAAGTTATACGTTGCCACAACTCGGTTTTGGGTCAGTTCCAGTTTAGAACCGTCGGTCCAATTTCTCATATTGTTGAATAGAAACCGGCTTGAGAAAGACTAAGGGCTGGCTCAATGAACTAGCGGTCCCCATTCAGAACCGGCCCGACGATTCAGGGTTGGTATGGAAAATAAAAAATTATAATTAAAATATAATCAAAAAGTAATAAAAGAAATTTTTTTAAAAAAAGAATTTTGGCGTTAAACTGCCGGAACCGACGATTTAATTTTTTCAAAAAGCATGATCTTGGATTGGCCCGAGTAAAACCACGACTTGACTCAAGGCCCACGGTCAATGGTTTTGACTGGCGCAATCGAACTGTGGCCACATCTAGATAAAGTACATAAAAATATAAGACCCAATGGAAATTACGCATGGTGTAGGAAAAGATTTTTGTGTATATGACACTTAAATGAGCTCTTTTGTTTTCTTGGTTACAATTATGTGTTGACAAGATTTTAATTGTGATAATATTATACTTTGAAAGATAATGATTTTTTTCATATTTATTTCTGTAACACTATTTGTAAATCATTTTGAATAAAGAGCATGACTCTTAAACTTAATTAGTACATGTTATACATGAATTTTGCCGATATGAATTAATGTGTAGTAGTTATCCGGAAGTCCCTCCAACACACAATTTACACCACAATCGGCGTCGTATGACCAAAAATGGCTAAGAGTATGGGTCCCTCTACCAATATCTGAAGTATGTCAATCCCCCTAGATCATCGTTGTCAATCTCTTGGATTGTCACTGCCAATCCCTGGGATCGTCACTGCCAATCTCTCGAATCGTCACTATCAATCCCTCGGATCGTCACTGCCAATATCTTGGATCTTCACTGCCCATTCCCTGGGATCATCACTACCAACCCCACTAGATTGTTACATTTCCAATCTCCGTGCCAAAAGTTGTTTTCACCGCCTAAAACCAACATACATCGCCCATAGCTTAGACAGGTGTCCCGCCACATGTCACCTTGCATGTAACAAATTCATTCGGAGTCCAATAAACTTTTCTTTTTTGACTATAAATAGTCATGCCCATCCAGAAATCATCTGAAAAACACCCACTAGATACATACATGTACAAAATATAAAACAATACCTCATTGTACTACTTAACTTCTCCCGGAGAAAACAATTATTCTCCATGCCGGTAACCTCAACTGACCGACAAATTGTGTGTATTTACTTTCCGAATTTACACTTTTCATTTCCTTTTATCAAATGTTGATTTACTTAGCATATTATCACTTCGTAATTATGTTGGCGAAAATCCAACGTCAACAAAATGGCTAAAGGGTCCACCATACATTTGAATCCTTCAATGATTCATGGTGTCGTTTGGATACGCCCTCATACAACACTTTTTATCTCGTTACTCTACCCATGTGGGAGGGCGGCAATGCCGACCCTCCATTATTTCGTTACTCTACCAATGTGGGATGGCGACAACGCCGACCCTCCATTATATCGTTACTCTGCCCATTTGGAAGGGAGTCAACGCCGACCCTCGCCGACCCTCTATTATCTCGTTACTCTGTGCTCATTTGGAAGGGAGGCAACGCCGACCCTCCATTCTTTCACTACTCTAAACATGTAGAAGAGCGACAACGCCGACCCTCCATGTTAATCCTCTCCTCTCTTCATTTTTATCTAGATCCACGATCGGATCGAATTGATCCTCCTCATAATCTCCGTTTCTCCCATCACTCTCTATAGATATACACCCCCATATACATTTCTTACCAAAAACCCTATTTTTTGGCCTGTTATAAAACGCATTCCTAAAAATTCCTTAGCAGTCCTTCTGAATGATCGATACCATTCGATCCAGTGATAAATCTCTAGATCCCATTGATGATGGTTTCGAATTTATGTAATCTCTTGCACAAGAGTAAAAAACGGCCACTTATATGGATACGTCTTTTCTAACAAAAATTCCGGCTAGTATCACACAGACAGTTGTCGCTGCTCCGACTAAATATTCCAGCCAACATCGCATAACCAACTGCCCTTGCCCCAACAAAGAGTCTGGCTAGTCTCATCGCACGGCCAGCTGCCGCTGCTCCGGCCCGCAACCACCAGTCGTGAAATTTTTGACCAGAACACCAAGATCGTTGACAGCCCCCATGACCAGTCACACACAACTGTCATTCGTCTAAGTCAGTTCAGCCCCCATCATTCAATCTATTGTACTCAACCGAAATTTATTTAAAATATATTGTAGTCAATTTTGATGGATGTGGACATGTTTTAGAGTATAAAGCGTTTTAGTGATTAATATTTTAGAAATACATAATATTACGAAACTATTATTTATTTTTTCTATTAAAAATATTAAAATTTTCTTACGAATAATATGAGACATGCATTGCATGAACAAATATTAAACATGAATTTGATAAATATTAATATCAATGTAAATTGTTATTTTTTCAAATATGGCTGTAATTTATTCATTTCTAGGATTTGTAATAATTTATCTCAAATAATATTTTGTAATTTAGTATTAATTTAGTTATGATAACAATGGTAAAACGAATAACTGAAATCTATATAAATACTTCATAATTTTATGCATGTATTCCTAAAAAATACATATAAGGAGGGCGTAGTCATTTCGGATTCTTAAAAACTTTTTGAGATTTCAAGAATCCTGGTGTATTCGTTTATGATTTTAAGAAGTCTTAACAAGTCATTAGTTATTCACTTGAAATTTTAAAATGTCTTAAAAATTCATAAGATATTCATTTGTAATTTCAAAAGTTTTAAGAAGTCATGAGATATTCAACTTATTTATCACTTGAATTTGTATGGACTTCTTAAGACTTACTAGATTTCGAAGACAAGATACAGATACAAAGTCCCACCTTCAAATATGGTATTTTTTAAGTTTTCTTTACAAATAAAAGAATCTTAAAAAGTCTTAGAAGGGTGTATTGGTTTGGTATTTTTAATGACATTTTAAGAATTTTAAAATTTTAAGGTTTTTTGAGTTTTTTCTAAGATTGTTTCATTTAACTAGGATTCTTAAAAATCTCATGCTAGGAGGTGAGATATGGAGTAATTATTCATTTATGTAATTTTGTCTTTGAAATCCCCAAAAGTTTTAAAATGACCAAGCTTAAGTGCTAAATAAATTGAACATCTCATAACATTTAAAACTTTTTAAACTCTTAAATAAATACATTATGGTTTTTAAAATTTTAAAAAGTAGTTAAGATTTCAGAATGAATACAACCTAGATTTTCTGATTATAATGAAATTTCTCAACACAATATTTCTAATCACCTTATTAATTGTAGCTCGCCACTTACAGAACACGAACAAATTAAACAAAACCCATCGAAAAATATAAGCACAAAATAAATTACGAAAAAGCGAAAAAAAAAGAAAAATAAAAAAATATTGGTAGAAGAGATTTTGGTCTGCTCTCGGCTCACACGCAAAATCAGAACCATCCAATCATCTCCCGTCACAAAATACAAACCACCGCCACCACACCAAATCCAATTCCCCAAACCCCTCTCACGCCCCCAATCGCACCGGACGAATCTCCCGCCGCATCACCTCCGGCGACCGGGCTCTCAGCCGCCGCCGATTTCTTCGCCGCCGCCGACGCCACGGCGGACGCGGGCGCAGGAGCCCCGAACAAGCTAAGTGGGAGCAGGACCTTGTCCACCTGGTACACCCACCAGTTGGCCGTCGGTGTAGACGGTGTTGCCGACGGACCCATCGTCGACGCCGGTGGAGACATTGACCTGATTGCCGGAGGTTGTGACGTTGATCTGAAACCCGCTGTCCCCTGCCTGGGTCCGGATGGGGTTGCTCACCGTCTGGAATTGGGGCAGCGAGAGGAAATTGGGGATGACGTGGAATTGGATGAGGGAGACCTTCTGCTGGTCGGAGATTGAATTGAGGGTGCCTGAAGGGAGGGCCGAGAAGGCCGCGTCCGTCAGGGCAAATAATGTAATCCCCTGCCCGACGGTCGTGTTGTTGAGCTGGGCGTCGATCTGGGGCCCCACTTGGGTCGTCCTCAGAAGTGGGATTAGGGTTGTAAACTGACCCGCTTTCTCCAAGATCTTCATCACGTTAGTGGGCCCAGCGGGTGCTGGGCCTGGGGTTTGGGCCACCGCGCAGGTCCAGAAGAGTAGGTATGTGATTCTCCATTATCGGGTTTTTGGATTTTTTTTTTTTTAATTTAATTTTTGTTGAATATGGAGATATATTTCCCTTCTTGACTGAAGTATTGTCATTATAAACGTCTTGGATACAATTTCAGCTTCAAGAATTGAGTTTGAGTTTGAATAATAATCCACCTTGCAATATGCCTTGAGTGAGTCAGAACTGACTTAGGTTTATACTCTGCCAGACGGCCATGCATTTTCTTAATAGCTGTTCAAGTTGACCTCAGATTTATCAAAGTGGAAAGAAGTGTTAATGCTTGGTTTTGTTGGATTTAACAAACCCAACTAAGCTTTCAACAAAGACCATATAATCAAGGGCGGATCTAGAAAAAAAAAATTGGGGGGATAAAGCTGTTATTCGAACAAAACTGTCTGCGAACATATACAACTCGGTTTGACTCGTACAAACTCGAGCTCCAACTTGTTTTTATCATTAAACGAATTAATCACAAACACTTAATTGAATTTGTGCATTAACTGAGTTGGGTTTCACTTTTTTTTTTAATTAAATGAGTTTGGACGAGCTGACTCATTTATTAATCAAACACGAGCTTGAACATGTTCGCAGCCATCTGAAACAAATCAGAACCAGCGCCAGTCGGCTCAGACGCGACCAGACCCGGCCCAGCTCCGGTTCGACAAGGGTCCAAGACCCGGTTCGAGTCCAAGTTGAGGTTTGAGAGGTTTGACCAAGTAACGGAGGTCCGAGATGATTTAAAAACAGGTAGATAGATAGATTTAAATCGATATGCTATATAACGAAAAATATATTAGGAAACAATTGAGCTAATATAATAGTTTACAATTTATTTACTTTATCTCCTGTCCTAAATTACATGCATTTTTAAATTTACCGCATGTCCTAAATTATTTGTTCTTGGCTTTCTTAGACAAATGTATTATACTATTTGAATTAAGGATCTAAATAATAATTTTTATTATCTATGTAATTTTTAAAGATATGTCAAGCGATATGGAAGCATTTTTCCATTTAAAGATGATGTATATTAATGAAATTAAAAATTATCATATTTGATTTGATCTGATTTGAAAACAATTATATGCAAGCAATTAATGAATATATTGAAAAAAAATTCAAATAAGGTATGCGTTAGATGTTCTTAGATTTTTTACTATTATATTTAGTAAGTTCATATTTTCTTTATATATATATATATATACTAATTATTCAAGTACTTACTTCTGTTGGGTAGGAAAATAAGTAAACAAAGCAGAGTCGTGTTGTAGCTGGGGTACGTCTATGTCTTACTCTCTCCCTTTTTGGATTTCTCATTTTGTGAGGCACATCTTAGTAGGTTTTAATGTCTGTCTAGAATAGATCTCTTTTTGGGATTTCTCACTGTCTAGAATAGATCTCTTTTTGGGATTTCTCATTTTGTGAGGCACATCTTAGTAGGTTTTAATGTCTGTGTAGAATAGATGTGAAAATTAGTGAATCCACGTCACTTTTCTTGCCGATTTTGACTTGAACTGCATAATATAAATTAGTATTTTTAGATAGTTCTCAAAATTTATTAGAATACATAATGACATAGTTATATATTTGCCTACAAGTTTATACATTACAAACTAATGGTCCTTATGCAACTGCAGGTACCTAAAAACATGAACTTATTAATAGAGGAGGAGGGAGTTTAGACAGTTTATACTCGATCTCCGCAGGACGTTGTCTGATGATATGCAGGTACCTAAGGGAGTTTAGAACCGGTTTTCCATAACATTCAAACCGATCATCAGACAGCAACCTGCAGAGATCGAGTATAATCTGTCTAAACTCCCTCCCTCTACTAATTTCAAAGTTCATGTTTTTACGTACCTGCAGTTGCATAAGGACCATTAGTTTGTAATGTATAAACTTGTAGGCAAATATATAACTATGCCATTATGTATTCAAATAAAATTTGAGAAGTATTTGAAAATACTAATTTATACTATGCAGTTCAACTCAAAATCAGCAAGAAAAGTTACAGTGGATTTACTAATCTTCACATCTATTCTAGACAGACATTAACACCTACTAAGATGTGCCTCACAAAAAGAGAAATCCAAAAAGTAAAGAGAGTAAGACATAGACGTACCTCAGCTACAACAGGACTCAGCTTTGTTTGCTTCTTTTCCTTCCCAACATAAGTAAGTACTTGAATAATTTTTGGCCCGCTATTTTATTTATATATATACATATAAAGAAAATATGCACTTACTATATATAATAGTAAAAAATCTAAGAACATCTAATGCATACTTTATTTGAAAATTTTTTAATATATGCATTAATTGCTTTCATATACTTGTTTCTAAATCAAATCAAATATGATAATTTTTAATTTTATTGATATACATCATCTTTTAAATAGAAAACTGCTTCCATGTTGCTTGACATATCTTTAAAAATTACATAGATAATAAAAATCATTATTTAAATACTTAAATCAAATAGTATAATGCATTTGTCGAAGAAAGCGCACGAACAAATAATTTAAGACATACAGTAAATTTAAAAAATGCATGTAATTTAGGACAGATGGATAAAGTAAATAAATTGTACACTATTATATTAGCTTAATTGTTTCTTAATATATTTTTTGTTAAATAGCATATCAATTTAAATATATCTATCTAACTGGTTTGGGGCTAGGAACCACTGGAAGCCTCCTATCAGTCCATGTCCCCCTCAACTCCTTACCCAAATTTCTCTGCAATCCTTCCTTCTCAGCCATCTCAAACATATCAGAACCAGCGCAGTTGGCCCAGACTCGACCCAGCTTGTGTCCAGTGGTTCGGTTCGGCCCAGATCCGGTCCCGACCAGTTCAGCAAAGGTCCAGGACCCGGTTCGAGTCCAACATGAAGTTCGAGAGGTTTGACCAAGTCAACATAGGCCCGGGATGATCCGACGTGGACCGTGAGCAACCGGATGGTGATGACGAGGCTAGTCAGAACGACTTAGGTTTGAGTTTGAATAATAATCCACCTTGTAATATGCCTTGTGTGAGTCAAAACGACTTAGGTTTATACTCTGCCAGACTGCCATGCATTTTCTTAACAGTTGTCCGAGTCTTGCTCAGATTTATCAAAGTGAAAAGAAGTGTTAATGCTTGGTTTTGTTGGATTTAAAAAGCCCAGCTAAGCTTTCAACAAAGACCATATAATCAAGGCGCATCTAGAAAAAAAATTTGGGGGGACAACGCTGCTAGTTAAAAATTAAAAACGTCTCAGAGACGGCAAAAAATAAAAACGGTACGCGTTGAACCCTCACTTCTAGTTTTGTTGCGCTTAGGATTTAATTCGTAGATAGTCCGTGACTTGCATAATTTCGAGATCCTAATCGGTCCTAACAAAACCAACACACATCGTCCATAACTTGGATAGGTGCCCCGCCACATGTCACCTTGCATGTAACAAATTCATCTGGAGTCCAATAAACTTTTCTTTTTTTTGCTATAAATAGTCATGTCCATCCATAAATCATCTGAAAAACATCCACTAGATATATACATGTATAAAATATAAAACAGTACCTCATTGTACTACTTAAATTCTCTTGGAGAAAACAGTTATTCTCCTTGTCGATAATCTCAACTGACCCGCAAATTGCGTGTATTTACTTTCTGCATTTACACTTTTCATTTCCTTTTATCAAATGTTGATTTACTTAGCATATTACCACTTCGTAATTGATGTTGACAAAAATCCAACGTCAACAAAATGGCTAAAGGGTCTATCGTACATCTGAATCCTCCAATGATTCATGGTGCCGTTTGGATACGTCCTCATACAACACTTTTTATCTCGTTACTCTTCCCATGTGGAAGGGCGGCAATGCCGACCCTCCATTATTTCGTTACTCTACCCATGTGGGAGGACGACAACGCCGACCCTCCATTATCTCGTTACTCTGCCCATTTGGAAGGGAGTCAACACCGACCCTCCATTATCTCGTTACTCTATGCCCATTTGGAATGGAGGCAACGCCGACCCTCTATTCTTTCGCTACTCTAAACATGTAGAAGAACGACAACGCCGACCCTCCATATTAATCCTCTCCTCTTTTCATTTTTATCTAGATCCACGATCGGATCGAACTGATCCTTCTCATAATCTCTGTTTCTCCCATCACTCTCTACAGATATACACCCCCATATACATTTCTTACAAAATACCCTTTTTTTGCCCCGTTATAAAACTCATTCTAAAAATTCCTTAGCAGTCCTTTTGAATGATCGATACCTTCGATCCAGTGATAAATCTCCAGATCCCATTGATGATGGTTTCGAATTTATGTAATCTCTTGCACAGAAGTAAAAAACGGCCACTTATATGGATTCGTCTTTTCTAACAAATATTCCGACCAGTATCACACAGACAGCTGTCGCTGCTCCGACTAAAAATTCCAGCCAACATCGCACAACCAACTGCCCTCGCTCCGACAAAGAGTCTGGTCAGCCTCATCGCAAGGCCAGCTGCCGCTGCTCCGCCTTGCAACCACCAGTCGCGAACTTTTTGACCAGAACACCAAGATTGTCTCCAACTCCCGTGACCAGTAACACACAACTGTCATTCATCTAAGCCATATCAGCCTCCATCATTCAATCTATTGTACTCAACCAAATTTTATTTAAAATATATTGTAGTCAAATTTTGATGGACGCGGAAATGTTTTAGAGGACGTTTGTTAGATTGGACTAGATTAGACAATTTTTATCTTGTGGATCAAGATTGTACTGTTAAGATTAAATGTCATCTATGTTTGTTAAGAAGGATTGTTCCAAGATAGATTATACTAATTTTTATGTTCCACATTTGTTTCTCAAGATTAGATATATGATAAAAGTAATGAATTACCAAAATACCCTCAATTTAAAATACATTATCCATGACACTTTTTTGTCTTATTTTATGTGTTAAAAACTTAAAGTTGCGTTTTTCTACTTATTTCATTTTTATTTTCATTTTGTACTTATCTGAATGAAATTGGGGTCTATATGAACCAACACAATCCGAAATTAAGAAATCATACATTTTCATAGTCAAAGACATTATTATTATCCAAGAAATTAAGAAATCTNTACTTCATATCTAACAGAAGGTGAAAATGTAAAGAACATTGTCAAAATTAATAATAATAATAAAAAAAAAATCTTACTACTTCATTTATAACAGAACGTGAAAACGTAAAGAAAATGGTCAAAATTAATTAAAAAAAAATGGACAACATGCAGCTCCACCTCGTCTAGGCTAAACAAAAAACATAAATTATAAAATACAAAATACACCACGGCGAAAAATAAATAAATAATCAAATTATTGAAGGAAACAAGAAAAGGTTATTCATCGGTCTTAGAGCATTCATGAAAATAATGTTAGCCTGAAGATTTGCAATTTAGCTAGAGTTTTTTGGCCGAATAAAAGTGACGGATCTTCGAAAATCTATCCGCTTGTAAATAACAACAATACACATCAACAAACAAGAAATAGAGGACGATATGTTTCAGGGAGGTATCTAAATGTTAGACATGAATATACAAACCTGTATAGGAAGTCACCAAATCAGATGTTGAAGAACACCATAGCCCGATAATGGTGATTTCAATTAATTCCAGAGAAGAGAGAGTGCACTGTGCACAAATAACGACACTTAGCTGGTACAAAAGGCTTTTTCGTAATATATTAAGCACAAGAGGGTAATATAGGTTCAAAATCTAAATGTGGAGGATTGTAACGCCCCACTTTATTTTAAAGAATTTATCGAATTTATTTAATAAAAATCACAATAAATTTTTCGCAAACTTTAATTTAATTAAAAACTCAGTGGGCGCTACTCAAATTTACCAAAAGCCTTTATCCGAAAAAGCAACCACCTTAAAACGAAAGATAACATGCTCGAATATTAAATCATAAACCTCACTAGCATTCATTAAGTTAAGTTCCAAATCATAAAATACAATTCATAATTCTCAAATTCAAAACGACATAATCAATATCCAAATTTTCAACATGAGTTCATAAACTAAGCGGAAACAAAATTAAATAAGCAATAATAAATGACATAACCACCACCCGTCTTGTCTCGTCACCCCCCAACTGCTTAACCTGCATCAGTTACGAGCAGGTGGGAGTGAGTACAGTTAAATATCGTACTCACACTATGCATATAAATAACATGATATTGGTATGGTCGCAGCATGAACATAAACAATAATCACATCATGTCTCATCTCCTATTCAATATCACACCATTTAACCTTACTCCTGTGCACATCTATCGCTAGCCGCAGAACGGGGATTCATTACCCGAAGGCGGGAGTACGTGCCACTGTAACGGACACGGCCTTCCATATGGGCTTACGTACCTCACAAGGGCACGGCCATATCAGGACTTAAAGGAGATTGCCACACAAGGGCACCGTACCGTAACTCGACGGGGACAACCGTATCGACGGCCGTAACAGCTCACATCGATAGGCTACATGTTCACATGCATACATAGATCATACCAAAATTTTCCACACAATTAAATCACACATATGCATAAATAATTTTAGAATTACAACCCACCTGGATTCCGGATTGATAATAACTCAAAGCAATGGAAGTAGGTCGAGGCTGGACTCCTCAATCACCTACATTAAGTCAAGATGCTACAATCAACATCTATCTTGACTTTAAACGGAAAACACAAAACAGACCTAGTCGAACTTGTTTCGACTAAGTAGTTCGTGAAGTCCTGTGGATGTTGGAACACTAAGACTCGGCACTAAACTCGACCAAACCACATATGGGAGTTCAAATAATTTCATCTAATGATAGACCAAGTCAAACTCACAACAGAACGAAAAGCAAGTCGATTACCGTTTTAAATTCCCAAATTGTACTTTAAAATTTACTAGCTATTAATCACATGAAAATCATTGACCAGGCTGCCCTACGACTTAAGCTGTGAAATTTTAGCCAAAATTACATCTCCCAGTAATTAGTGAAACCACC